TCCAGCCAGAGTTGGGTTCGGTCAATGTGGGGCAGGGAGGAAAGGTTCGTTGTGCCCAGAGGCCTGGAGGTGGTGAAATAGAATCCTGAATTGCAGTTTCTTAGATTCTAGTGCCCCTGAGGTTGGTGAGTTACCATTTCCCTAATACCAGGTTTGAGATCAGCAGAAGAAAAACTATTTTTCCCTGCAGAAAAATAGTGGGCTGCCCACTGCCGGTCCTGGGGTTCTTCATAGGAGTTGATGGGAATTACAGTTTCCGAGACAGATGGGGCTTATGGACAGTATTTGTGGAGGGAGGGAGAAGTGTGTTTCATGTGGTCTTAGAGCTTGAGGCTGTGCCTACATGTAAGAGTCCTTGTGAACTTGGGATTCAGTCATTCTACCATTCCACTGATACCCTGGTTATAGGACAGAGGAAACTACAAGTCCCAGCAGGCAGTGGGGCCTCCCATGCCTTTTCTGTTAGTCTTTCACCCAGTGGCTGATGGGGTTTGTAGTTCCTTGGCCAGAGCTGCTGTAGGGTTGGTTGTCCATTCCCTGGACTCACCCTGTCCTGTGTTCCCACCTCTCTCAGATCCCCAGCCTGAGTCACAGTGTGCTGTCACAGACCAGCTTCAGGGCCGAGTACAAGGCCAGCGGTGGCCCCTCCGTCTTCCAGAAGCCAGTCCGCTTCCAGGTGGACATCAGCTCCTCTGAGGGCCCAGAACCCTCCCCCAGACGGGACGGCAGTGGGGGTGGTGGCATCTACTCCGTCACTTTTACTCTCATCTCCGGTGAGTTCTTGACTAGACTGCCCCACACCCAGGGTTTGGGATGTTCACGACAGCTGCAACAGGACAAGGCCAGGAGTGCAGCAATAGGCAGGAGGACATGGTGCTCAGCTGGTGCTGACTCTGTGAGCATCATGCTCACACAGAACCCACATCCTTCCCCATTGTCTCCTTGACATCTAGCAGGTATTTACAGTGTAAATAATGAATGCATTATTTCATTGACGCTTCCAAGCAGCCTTGAGGTGTTCATAGTCACCAGTTTTACAGAGGAGAAAACTGAGTCCTAGAAGATAAATGGGGTTGACTAGAGTCACACAATAAACTGTGGCAGAGCTGGGGCTCAACCCAGGCCTCCTGACCTCACAGGAGAGAGTAGAGCTCTTCCTGCTACTTTAAGATCGTAGATCAAAAGGGCAAAGACTGCAGCGTGCTGATGTCTAACATCAGTCCAGCCCAGGCAGACATCACCAATCGATCACAGCACGTCTTCCTGCTGACCATAGGCAGATAGCTGCAGCCTCCTCCCTAGGCAGCCACAACCAATCCAAAGTTGGCACAAGAGATAACCACAGCAATACCTCACTTCCAATTCTGCATGCTTCCTGAGTCCTAATGGGAAGAGTTTGGATAATGAGGGATACCTCTGCTCTCCTTGTCACAAATTTTAGTGTGTCACTGCCAGGAGATGAGTTTGCTCCAAAGATTTCTAAACCAGGATGCTGTGCGACACTTCAATGAATGTTCCATCACTAAAACCGATTATAGTGCTGTTATTTTTCTTTCCCCCTTAAAGACTAATATGCAGACCTTTCTGAATTTTAAGGCCTATTTCTCACATTTATTTTCTTACATTTCTGGCCTTCCATGGCTTCAACTAGAAACTAACAAGCAGTGGCATCTATTTAACTAGCAACTGATGCCTGTTGTTATTTTAAGTTGAAGATATCTGAGTTTGACAGTAGTTCTTAACTAGCAACACAGGGACCCATTTGCAAACTATGAATTTATGCCGGCCCCAGCAGAGCAAGGGAAATTGAGGCACAGAGGAGGAGAAGAGAGTCATTTGCTTGGTGGAGAGAGTGGGTTCTGCAGGCTGGGAGGGCCTTCCCTCTCCCCACCCCCAGTCAGCCTGTTTCCCTGCCCGCCGGTCACTCCAGGTCCCAGCCGTCGGTTCAAGCGAGTGGTGGAGACCATCCAGGCACAGTTGCTGAGCACTCATGACCAGCCCTCCGTGCAGGCTCTGGCAGGTGGGTGGCAGGGGCTGGAGGTGGGAGACGTCTGGTGTGACCCAGTGCTCCGGGGTTTGGTTTGCAGAGGAGGCCAGTTGGGCTCCTTTGCCGTTGTCTTGCTGAGGACTTCCCTGCAGTGTTGCCAGCAGGTTCCCTGAGACTGGAGCCTGAGAAGGAACTCGCTAGCTACCTGGAGACTGGCCTCCAGGGGTCCCTACAAGGACGACAGGCTCTGTGTCGGGGGTAGAGGAACATTCTGCCAACAGAAGTTCTAGACCTCTCTGTTCAGGAGGAGGGTGACCAACCATCTCGGTTTGCCTGGAACCAAGGGGGGTTTCTGGGATGTAGGACTTTGAGTCTAAAACCAGGACAAGTTGGTCACCCTCTTTGCAGGACTCAGGCTGCACCTCACACCCTGTTGCTAGGGCTAACAGTTCCTAGCAACCAGGGTTGTAAGCTGAGTTCACAGGGAGTGGGTAGGGTCTGTGCTCCATGGGGGTCAGGCCTCCCTGGGCTCACTAGCCCCTGTCATCAGTGAGTAGAATTCCCCAGCAACCAGGGACAGTGCAGGGGCCAGACCTCTGCAGGGTTTGTTACTAAGGTATCTTAGTCCCTTAAGGCTGCTGTAAGAAAAATACCATCGACTGGCTTATAAACAACAGAAATTTATTTCTCACAGTTCTGGAGTCTGGGAAGTCCAAGACCAAGGCACTGGCATGTTCGATATCTGGTGAGGGCTGATTCCTGGTTCATAGATGGCGTTTTCTATGTGCCCACATGGTGGAAGGGGCAAGGCAGCTGTCTGGGGCCTCCTTCATAAAGGCACTAATCCCATTCCTGAGGGCTCCACCCGCATGACCTCCCAAAGGCCTGACCTCCTCCCACCGTCACCTTGGGGTTAGGATTTCAACTTAGGAATTTGGCAGGGACTCAACGTCCAACTAGAGGTAACCAGAAAGCCTGAGGGAGGAGCGCTCCTGCCCAGCAAAACAGCCCTCATTTCTGAGACATGGCAACCCCTCCCCAAGGAACAGGATCTCATAGGACAGAGTGAATGCGAGTGCTGTCCTGTGGCAGGGTGGGTCAGCACGCCATAGCCACCAGGGGACAGTTGCCTGCTCTGGGGGAGTCGGGCAGCGTCAGCCTTGCAGGGTTCACTGCTCCTTCCCAGACCCCTGGCCACTGTCCCCACGGAAGGGAGGAAGAGGGCAGGAGCCAGGGTGGCCCTGTCACCAGGACACTCAGGTAGGCATTTGGATGTGGACATCCTTGGGAAGGGGTGTGTCATTCATCCTACCATGGCCCCTCAGGGGACATTTGGCAATGTCTGGAGGCAGTTTTGGTCGTCTCAACGGGGGAGGGCAGGGGTATGCCACTGGCATCTTGTGGGTAACCCAGGGATGCCACAATTCACAGGACAGCCCCCCACGGCAAAGGGCTGTCTGGGCTCCAAATGCCAATGGTGCCAAAGTAGAGAAACCCTGTTGTCCGTTATGATCACTAAGGGCAACCACAGAGCAAAGTAGGCCCACCAGACCCTGTTGCCAAGGAAAACCAGCCTTCGTGACCAGGAATCTCAAAAGGGGACACAGCATCAAAGATACAGGACCAACAGGCCCCCCGGGACCTCAACCACCTGCCTTGTATAGGAGAAGGGAGTGGGGGACAGGCCTTGGAGCTTGCCCTGGAAGAAGACAGCCTTGTTGATTGCCATGGCAACAAGCCCCACAGTCAGTTTCTCTCAAGGGGGCTGATCTCTGCCAGGGGACCTCAGATAGCGTCTCAGGCCCCATGGAAATTGCTGGGTGGCCGCCCAGCAACCAGTGTTTCCACAGCATTCCCCAGAAGGAAGTAGCCTCTGTCCGGGGAAGTCAGGCCCACAAAAGGGGAACCCGAGTCAGGCATGCCCAGCGGGGAGGGCCTGAGACCACCCCCAGTGGGCTCCCATGGACATTTCTCCCCAACAACTGGGGCAACAGAGAGTGGGGGAGCCCCTCTGGCCATGAACCTACGTGCTGCTGGGCGTGTCCTGGCCAACAGCAACCAGAATGTCGGAGACTCCCCCAAAGTCGGGCCAGCCGAGGCCTCACTTAGACTAACTTGGGCCCTTTTCCAAAGCCAAGAGAGTTGCACGGGGCCCAGGGTGTGGCCCCCATTCTAGGAACACCAGGCCTTGTTACTAGGTCATGTGTCCCCCTAGCAACAGCTTCTGGAGGCTTCCAGCCCTGGTGTTGGGGGCTTTGACTGGGCCTCACCAGGGGTGTAGCTGGGGGCCTTGGGGTCACTGAAACCAACCGATAAGGAGACCCCACTCCATCTCCTGATGGCAGGAACCTCAACCCTGGGCTGCAAAGCCCACATAACACCTCTCCTTCCCTCACAGATGAGAAGAATGGGGCCCAAACCCGGCCCGCCGGTACCCCACCTCGGAGCCTGCAGCCCCCGCCTGGCCGCCCTGACCCAGAGCTGAGCGGCTCTCCCCGCCGAGGCCCCCCCAAGGACAAGAAGCTCTTGGCCACCAACGGGACCCCTTTGCCCTGACCCCAGGGGGCCGGGGAAGGAGGGGAGCCCCCCTCCACCCCCCTTCCCTGCCCCCCAACTGTGAATCTGTAAATAAGGCCCAAGGAATATTTCGGGAGGGGGGAGGACACAAAAACCGGCCTTGCCCCGCAGGGATGGGGCTCCAGGGGCCGTGCCCAACAGGGGTGGTTCTAAGGGGGACTGGGGAGGGGGAGCTGTTTCTATTTTATTTATTGATTAATTTATTATTTTATTTATTGATCACTCTCTGCGGGGTGGGGTGGGGGAGGGACGGGAGCGGTTGGGGTGGCTTAGCAGATCCGGACAGGGCCCTCTGTCCCTGTGTCATCCCCAACCCACCTTCCCGGGCCCCTCCTCTCCCGTCCTTCCCCCTCTCCCACAACCTTCTGTACGGATTTGCTCTCCGGAAGGAATTCTGGTTTCGCGTGATCCTGCCTGCGTCCGTGTCTCTGATTCTGCCGGCGGCAAAAAAAAAAAAAAAAAAAAAGATAATAATAATAATAAATAGCCTTGATCAGGGACGCTGGTTGACCTCGGCCTCTTGCTTCCTGGGTGCTCCCATCGCAGGGGCAGGGCCAGATGGCGGGGACAGGTGGGTGCAGAGGTGCTGGCTGTGACCAGCTGTGCAGGGTCCCTCCACGCCCGGCCACATGTCCGCTAGGCTCCAGGACGGGAATGGTCAGCGCCTCCTGCTCCTGGCCAGAGGTCCCCAGTGGTTCATCCAGTGGGATGTGGGGGGAATGAGCATTGGCCCCATCTTCTTCCGCTGGTGACGTGAAACCTGGGTCAGGACGCCTGGGACAGCTGGACGGGCAGGGAGATGGGGGAGGCCGGCAGTGGGCTGAGGCTGGGCTGTGGGCTGAGGCTGGGCCGCGGCTGAAGACACAGGGTGCAGCTGTCCAGGACAGAGAAGTCAACAGACAAGAGTCCGAAGAGCCCGAACAGCAGCATGGCCGTGGCCCACTCGCAGACGGCAGAGGCGGAACGCAGCTTCCAGGAGTGGAGGACGATCACTTCACGCCTGTGTCAAGGGCCACACGGCTACCGAGAAGGACCCAGTGTGGCCTCGGGCTGGACTGAGGCCGACTCTGGGTGTCGTCCCCTGCCCCTCGGGCTGACCACCATCCTCAGCTCTCATCTTCCCACATACACGTACGTCCTCTCAAACGGATTCCAGCCTTTGTCCCCGATGCTCCCCAAGCCCTATCTGTATCTCAAGCTGTTCCCAAGCACTATCCTTTGCATGGCATTCTGGTCCCCACTGCTGCCAGCTCCAGGTGTGCAGAGTTTCCTGAACCTGCCTCCCTCCCTGCCAGCCTCGAGATGTGTTTTGCCACTTTCTCCTGAACATCCTCCCCCTACCCATGGCCCACAGGCCCCTCTTGCTCACTCCCTAACAGAATCTAATCTCCCCCTAAATCTGTCCCCACCCTGTGGCAACTCCACCATCCACTCATGCACCCAAGCGGCACTTGCCCCCTCCCTCCTTCCTCTTGGCCATCTGGTCACCCCAGCTCTTGTCCTATCTGCCTACCCTCCTCTAGTCTTGTGTCTCTCTCCTGGTCTGCCCCATCCCTTCTCTGGCTGTCCCATCCCAGCTCCTTAAAAACCTTTTTCTACACACCAGCTCATGCAGACTCCAGCCCAGCAGAGACATCTCTTGTTTCCTGGAACCTCTCTCACTGGAGCACCCTCACCCACTCCTCCCAGATCAGCTTCACTCAAGGATCTCTAAGCTCCTTAGGAGTCAAGCAGTGGGGTATAGATGGCATATAATGCCGACACCACCCCTGGCCCTGTGTGTCTTACAGCACAAATCACTTACTCCCAGGACTAACCCTGTTCCTTCCCTGCTCACAAGCTTTTTTTTTTTTTTTCTTTTTTGAGACAAAGTCTCACTTTATGGCCCAGGTGAGTGCTGTGGCATCAGCCTAGCTCACAGCAATCTCAAACTCCTGAGCTCAAGCAATCCTGTCTCAAGCTCCCAAGTAGCTGGGACTACAGGCATGCGCCACCATGCCCGGCTAATTTTTTCCTGTATATATTAGTTGGCCAACTAATTTCTTTCTATTTATAGTAGAGACAGGGTCTCGCTCTTGCTCAGGCTGGTTTCGAACTCGTGACCTCGAGCAATCCACCCACCTTGGTCTCCCAGAGTGCTAGCATTACAGGCGTGAGCCACCGCGCCCAGCCTGCTCACAAGCTTTCTGTGGTTGTCTCTTATCCTCAGGCAGAAGCCCAAGCCGCTCACCCTCATCTTAGAGATCCCAGCTGTGGCCCTGCCAGCAGCCCCATTCCTCCCGTGAGCTGGTCTTTGTGCTCTCTGCACACACCTGCAGGGGCCCCCCCAGCCTTCCAACCCCGGCCCAAAGAGGCTCCAAGATCCGGCTCAGAATCCCACGGGTCTCAGACCCACCTTTACAGATTCCAGGCCTTGTCACGCCCAGGTGGCTGTCTTTATAGCTCCTCCCCACTCCCCCCAGCCCAGGGACAACTGAGCCCTACAGAATGAGGACCTTGCAGCCAGACTGATTATCAGTCCTATTTTTTTTTTTTTTATCAGTCCTATTTTAAAGGTTTGGAAAGGGTTAGGCTGGGTCTTATCACGAATAGGGCCCCTGAAGAGGAGGCCCCACGGTTCTCCCCACCTAGGGCTGCTGACGGCTGAGTTGAGGGCCTGCCCTTCCCACCTGTGCTATGGAGCTCCAGTTTGTTGTTCTGGGAGGTGGGATGCCTTAGCTGGTTTCTCCATCCTCCCCACAAATAAGCAAGGCCCCAAGGTTGAGTTTGCAGCCCCTCCTCTCAGAGCACTCCACACTCTCCCTATCAGAATTCATCATTTTGATAAAAGCAGCTCCACTTGTTGGATATGGAAACAGGCTCAGAGAGGGACTTGACCCGCCTGGTGGTGTGCTGTGCTGGCGGAAAGCATCTGGCTTCTGGGGTGACTCAGAGGGGAGCTGGGAGGCCCAGCGCGGTGGCTCACACCTGTAATCCTAGCACTCTGGGAGGCCGAGGCAGGAGGATCGCTGGAGCCCAGGAGTTTGAGGTTGCTGTGAGCTAGGCTGACGCCACAGCACTCACTCTAGCCTGGGCAACAGAGTAAGACTTTGTCTCAAAAAAAAAAGAAGTGAGCTGGGATTGGGTCTCCACCCTTGGTGTGCTGGTAAAAGTTTAATAACCGGCTCTGGTTGGTAGCGTCTGCCAAGCACCATGGTGTAAATACTAACACCATTGTCATAATGTGATGTCACTGAACATGGAGTTAGGAAGAGCCACACCAACACCAACTGCTCTTGTGAGCCTACACGAGCCACCTGCAGCCCACCACCAACTCCACCATGGAATTCATGACACATCCTGGCCCAGAGACTCTCCCTGTCTGAACCTGATTTCTGGCATGGAGCGGCTGCCCCAAACAAACTATTATTATTCCAATATCATTCTCCTAATACTTACAGGTCACTCACTAGGTGCCAGGCACAGATCTAAGTACCTCATGTGTATTATCCTATTTATTCCTGGCAACCCTGGGGTCAGCCCTATTATTATCCAAATTTGATAAATGAGGAAACTGAGGCACCAACCGAGAAGTAAAGGAAGCAGTGGAAGTTTCCCCCAGCTAGTCTGTGGCAGTGATGGGATTCCAACCCAGGCAACGCGACCCCAAAGTCAGCACTCTCAACCACGAAGCTATGATCCTGTGCAGAGACCGAGGCCCAGAGAAAGGAAGAGACATCCCCAGTGGCACACAGCCAGGACATGGGAGACTGGCCCCAAAGAAGAACCATCCCCAACCCCTGCCCCAGCCCCAGTAAGGATACTGGCCACGATGAGGACGGTGCAGAGACAGCAGAGGGCCAGGCGGAGGAGGCCAAGCCAGGGGCCCCCGGGCTGGGGCAGGCTCTTCATCCGCCACCGGAGAAGGAGCTGCAGCCAGAAGTAGAGGTTGCCCAAGATGAAGGCAAGAAAGGCCCCTACCAGGTGTGTGGGCTTCTGGTTCTTTTCCTGGGAGGAGAAAGGAAGAATTGAGGGAAAAACCATGGGAGAGCGAGGGCACAAAGTGTGTGGGGGGGGGGCCTTAGCCAAGCCAATTGACTGTAATGGAAAACTTGCCATACCCAGCAATCGGCTTATTGATTAGGTGCATCGGCTATTGTCAGTCTGTGAGGGCAGGCATTTAAATCTGTTGTTCACAGCTACAGCCTCAATTCCTACAACAGTGCTTGGCATGTGGTAGATGCTCAGTAAACATGAGTGGACTAAATCCTGCATTCTCAAAGAGGGGGCCAGATATTGCAATTGATCCTGGGGGTGGGTGTGAAAATTCTTAGGCATTGCAATGGTTTGTGGCTTACAAATATATAGTATATATTTCATTAAAATTTTTAAATACTTAAAATGTCATGAGGGAAGGGATCATTAGGGGAAAATGTTTAGGCAGGTGATATACTGGCAATACATTAAGGAACACAGAAATAAAGGAATGAATGAATGGCTATGTGAATAAAATAGGGAATTTTTACAAGCAAGTCAGAGTTAGCATTTTGTCTGAACACCTTGTGGTTCCCCCCACCCAAGTTTCCACTATTTCAACAAGACAGGTTGGACATTAGCGATATCATGGTAAAATAAAATATCATAAAATTGGCTGGCCAAGATGTCTCATGTCTATAATCCTAAAGCACTCTGGGAGGCCAAAGCAGGAAGATCGCTTGAGCTCAGGAGTTGGAGACCAGCCTGAGCAAGAGCAAGACTGTCTCTACTAAAAATAGAAACATTAGCTGGGCATGGTGGTGCATGCCTGTAGTCCCAGCGACTCAGGAGGCTGAGGCAGGAGGATCGCTCGAGCCCAGGAGTTTGAGGTTGCTGTGAGCTAGGCTGACACCACTGCACTCACCCAGGCAACAGAGTGAGACTCTGTCTCAAAAAAAAAAAAAAAAATCATAAAATAAACCAAAAAGATCTCTCCTATCATGTGTCAATCCATTTATTCTACGAATATCTACAGAGCTTCATGGTTAAGAATTTGAGTTCCAGGCCGGGCGCTGTGGCTCACGCCTGTAATCCTAGCTCTTGGGAGGCCGAGGCGGGCGGATTGCTCAAGGTCAGGAGTTCAAAACCAGCCTGAGCAAGAGCGAGACCCCGTCTCTACTATAAATAGAAAGAAATTCAATTGCAACTGATATATATAGATAAAAAATTGAGCCGGGCATGGTGGCGCATGCCTGTAGTCCAGCTACTGGGAGGCTGAGGCAGAAGGATCACTCGAGCCCAGGAGTTTGAGGTTGCTGTGAGCTAGGCTGATGCCACGGCACTCACTCTAGCCTGGGCAACAAAGCGAGACTCTGTCTAAAAAAAAAAAAGAATTTGAGTTCCAGAGTCTGTGAAGCTCTTCATTTCTGATCACCACTGACCCGTGGATAAAAACTGTGAGGTATGCTCAAGAAGGACCTATGTAGAATCCTGGTGGAGATGGAAAGAATTCATGTACAAAGTGTACAGCCTCATTCGGATGCTTAACATGACAAACACTAAGAATGAGTAAATCTCAGATCTCAGGAATTTCATCATTAAATGACTTGGGGAGAGGGGTTGGCAGAAAATTATCCCAACCTCATTCCGGTCCAATCCTCTCCTCCACAAAAGACTTCGGCCCCTCTACGGCCCACCACCCCCAAGAAAAATGCGGGTCCTGGGGGTGGCAGGACGAAGGGGCCTGGAGGAGAGGAGGGAGGGGGAGGGCCTGGGCCGCGGGGCATGCCGGGAAGTGTAGTCCCCGACTCGCGGAGCCGACTGCGTCTTACCTGGAAATTGGCCACCACAGAGGTGCCCAGTGCAGAGAAGAGACCCGTCCACAGGATCAGCTGGTTAGGCGACTTTCTGACCCCCCAGTCCCGGAGCTGGTGGTAACGGACAATGCAGATCCAGGTGGCTGGGAGGACAGGGAAGAGGGAAGTGGACGGGAGACACCCCCCCTGTCCCCCCAGGCCTCACTTCTGGGCACTCCAGGGGGGCGGGACCAAACTCCTAGATTTGGGCAGAGGAGGGCTGGGGGCCTGGACCCCGGGGTCTGAGAGAGGAGGGGCTGGAGGTCCGGACCCCTGGGGCTGCCGAAGAGGGGTTGGGGGACCCCTGGGTCTGGGGGAGGAGGGGCTGGACAATGCTTACCCATGGCAGCTCCTATATTGAGCAACTGGCCAAAGATGCAGCTCTGAGGGGGGTACGATCCACAAATACTGGGGAGATAAAGGGTCATCCTATGGCTCCTCCAAGCCAAGGCCCTCTGCTCTCCTGCATCGGGACCCCATAACACCGTAACTACCTTATGTAGGGAAAGCCTTCGCTGAGGTTCACAGTCCTGTTGGCCACTGCAATGGCAAAACTGAGGCGGGAGGACAGAGCAGAGTGAGTAGGAGACTTTGAACTCTTCTGTTGGTTAACCAAACATTCCTGGAATCTAGCTACCTCCTCCCCCAACCCCAGGGGTTCCCCCAGCTTCTCCCCCCTCATACCCAGAGGTCCCTCCAGTCCCCCCTCCCTCAGATCCAAAGGTTCCACCCAGACTCTCCTCCCTCAGACCCAGAGGTCCTGTCCCTAACCCCTTCGCCCCCAGCCCCAGGGGCCCATCCTGCCTCTGACACTCACACAATCCAGATGCCCATGGTAGCCCAGAGGGCCAGGAAGGCAGGCAGCAGGGTCAGGTAGCCCCACATGGCGGGCTCTGCAGGGGAGGCAGAGGGGCTGGGAATCTCTCCCTCTTAGTCCAACTGTGTTTCTCTCTCTCCCTCTCTCCTCTGTCTCCCTCTCATTCTCTCTCCCTCACACCTAAAGCCCCAGGCATAGGGGAGGGCCCAGCAGGTGGGGTTGGGGTCTGAGCTAGTTCCTGGAGGCACTGTCCATATCTTTCCCAATTTTCAGTCCTAATCTCAGTTTTTCTCGATAGTTTCTCCTGGTCTTCCCAGGCCATCCCTCCAGCCCAGCCTCAGGGCAGGCTACTCACCTCTCCAGCTCCCCAGGCTGTGGTCCTGGGTGTTTCAGGAAAGGCCTGGGTTGCGGTGAGGGTGTGGCTGGGGCTGCCCAGAGGCAAAGTCCAGGCTGGAGCGCTGGCCACCGCACAGGGCCTTGGGTCTCCCCGCCACTCTCCCCGGGCCTCAGGCTGCCAGGTCCTGTCTTCTTAGAACCTAGCAGACAGCACCTTAGCTTTGGGGGCCCCTAAATTCCTTCCTCCAGCTTTGTGGGTTCCATGTCCAAACTCTCAGCCGTATCCTGCCCGGGGACCCAGAAATCTGAGCCACCAGCCCTCTCCACCCCTCCTCCCTTGGGGACCTAGGAGCCCGGGCCCAGTCCCTTCTAGAACACATGTCTTCATTTCTGGGTCCTGGGTTGCAGCCTCCTAGCTCTTACCTATGAAGGGACCGAAGAATCCAGCCTTCAGGTCCCCTGGCTGTCTGGGTGCAGTTTGTGCTGCAGGAGCCCTGGTGACCCTGCCTCCTCCCCTCCACGGCCTTCCCTTCTCCCTCGTCCCCACCACGCTGGAGTTCCCCTGGCGGGCAGGGGCCAGAGGGGAAGGACTTGGTGATGACATCTCCACCAAAAATCCTCCCCCCAGACGGCAACTACTTCCTCTGCCCTGACCATTTTCCTTCCTTCCCACACAGCAACCCTCCACCTCTGACCTCCTGCCCTCCTTCTTGGTACTCAGGGGTTTGGGTTGTGGCCTCTTCCTTCTTCCCAGGGCCAGGAGTCCAGCCCCCAGCCCCTTTCTCCTTCAGACTCAGGGTCCCTCCTGCCACTGACACTCAGGAGATCCAGACCCCAGAAAGCCCAGAGGGTGAGGAAGGCAGGCAGCAGAGACAGGTGGCCACACGTGCTGGCCTCTGCTGGGAAGGAGAGGGGCTGGGCACCCCCACCCCCATGTTCCCCCCCTTGGTTCCGGTTCCCTTTTCCTTGAGGGTTGAGGCCCCGGTTGCGGGGGTTTTGCCCCTTCTTTGGGCCCCCTTGGCCCCCGGGCCTTGGGCGTTGGGGTTGGGGTTCCCACTCTGGGCGCTTTGCCTATCTGTCCCACAGGTTTCAAAGGGAATCTGGGCTTCTCCTGGTCTGGCAGTTTCTCCCTGTCCTCCCAGGCTCTCCCTGCAGCCCAGCCTGCTGCTCCCCTCTCCCAGCTCCCCGTGCTCTGGGCCTGGGCATTTCAGGGGAGGCCTGGGTGCAGGACGGGGCTCAGGCAGCACAGAGACCGAACAGGGCCTTGGGTCTGATATCGCTCTCTGGGCCCTCACCTCCAAACCAACAGGTCCTGTCTCTTCAGAACCTAGCAGGCAGCAGCTTAGTTTTGGGGGCCCCCTAACTTCCTTCCTCCAGTTTCATGGGTTCAGTGTCCATACTCCCAGCCGTATTCTCCGAGGGACCCAGAAATCTGACCCTGCATCTCTTTCCACCCCTCCTCCCTTGGGGACCAAGGAGCCCGGGGCCCAGCCTCCTCCTCCTTCTCCAGGGAGCCCTTGGGGAGTCCTGGCCCCCAAACCTCTTCCCTTAGACACAAACCTCCCAGCTTCCTCCTCCCTCAGTACCCCACCTTTTGTTGTTTTTATGTTTTTTTTGGTTTTTGTTGTGAGAGTCTTGCTCTGTTGCCTGGGCTAGAGTACCATGGTGTCAGCCTAGCTCACAGCAACCTCAACCTCCTGGGCTCAAGCGATCCTCCTGCCTCAGCCTCCCGAGTAGCTGGGACTACAGTCTTGCAGCACCATGCCCAGTTAATTTTTCAATTTTTAGTAGAGACTGGGGTCTCGCTCTTCTTCAGTCTCCCAGAGTGCTAGGATTATAGGCGTGATCCGCCTCACCCAGCCTTACAAAACATTTCCTGAAGCTAGAAACCTAGCACTCATCAAGAATGCCATCTCGGCTGGGTGCGGTGGTTCAGGCCTATACACCTGTAATCCTAAAACTCTGGGAGGCCCAGGCGGGAAGATCCCTTGAGGTCAGGAATTCGAGACCAGCCTGAGCAAGAGCAAGACCCTGTTTCTGCTAAAAAATAGAAAAAATTAGCCGGGCATAGTGATGTGTGCCTGTAGTCCCAGCTACTCGGGAGGCTGAGGCAGGAGGATCCCGTGAGCCCAGGAGTTTGAGGTTGCTGTGAGCTAGGCTGACACCACGGCACTCTAACCCAAGCAACAGAGTGAGACTCTGTCTAGAAAACAAAAAAACTATGCTGGCCCCTAGGCTGGAGGACAAATAATTAGCATACAAAGTGCTAAAATGGAGGAATTCCAGAGCATGGTGGCCCCAGAAGGGGAAGTGGCTAACTCACAATGACCAGTTTGTGTCTGGCTGGTGGATGAGGAGGGTGGGGAAGACCTCAGGGAGCCTGGTGAGCCACGCCTAGGAGGATGTGTGAGTGTGCAAGCCGCAGGAAGGCATTCTCTGTAAAGTTGGAGTGGTCCCCAAAACCTGGCCCGTGCCAGTTGAGTATCTTTGTCTGCTGATGGGCAGAATGTGGCACCCACTAGGAGAAATGGATCAGGACCTGAAGCTCTTGAATGCCATAAAGGACTTGATGGTATCCTGAGGGTACTGGGGAGAGCCATGGAAGGTTCTTGAGTGGGGAAGACTGAGAAGAGATGATCTTGATGGCGTGTAGTCAGGAAAGAGATGTGATGATAATAGCCATTGACACAGCTGTCGTGCCAGGTACTGGTCTAAGTACTCCACACGGTTAACTCACTCATTCTCATGAGAACCCTGAGGGGTCACTGGCCATCTTTCCAGATGAGTTTCCCTATTCCTGCTGGAAATAGAATTCCTGGTTTCTTGGCTCACCTCGCTATGCCTCGTGCTCACACACACGGCCCAGCAACCCTGAGGAAAAAGTATCTAGAATAATTCTAAATGCCACACCTCCGAGAGACCGTGGCCCAGGAGACCCGGAGCTTCTGGCTCAGGGAGACAAGCTTGAATCCGGTCTCTGCTACTGAACAGCGGGGTGCCTGCATTTGTTTCCTGTCACTGCTGCAACGAAATACCACAAATGTAGCGGCTTCCGGCAACATCCGTTTCTTAGCTTGCAGTTCTGGAGGTCAGAAGTCCAAAATGGGTGTTAATGGGCTGAAAACAAAAAGTGTCGGCAGTGCTGTGTTCCTTCTGGAAGCTCGGGGGACACGTTTCAGAGCCTCTCCCAGCTGCCAGAGGCCGCCTTCCGTCGCCTCACCTCCTTCTCCGGCCCTGACCCTCTCGCCTCCCTCTCACTTGTGGGGACCCTTGTGACGACATCCAACCCTCTCAGACAGTCCAGGATGACCTCCGCGTCGCCAGAGCCTTAACCTAATCACACCTTCACAGTCCCTGTTGCCATGAGAGGTGCCATATTTACATATCCCAGAGACGCCAGGGCGGGGGACATCCTACTGCCTTCCAAGCACCCTGGCTACGGGGCTTCAATTTCTTCAATCCATAAACTCGGGTGCATAACACCACCTCCCAGGGAGCCAGGTCTGGAGCCGGACTGGCCAGCTTGGTGCCGTCGTCCACCTCTGCCTCTTGCTGGTGGTGGCACGGGACCTGGGGCGAGTGGCTTCCTCTCTCTGCACCTCGGTTTCCTCATCTGTGAGGTGGGGATAAAAAGATTAACTGCCTCACAGGGCTGTGGCGTGGAGTCGATGAGTGAATCCACATAAGTGCCCAGAGCAATGCCTGACACATAGCGTTACTGAAAGCTCCGGGCTTGTCCCCGAGGCCTCATCAGAAGAACGAGGACAAGTGGTTTGAGGAGAAGGAAAAAGAGGTTTATTAATTTTCCAGCAAACGAGGAGGATGGAGACTCGCATCTTGAAGTACCATCAAGTGCCGTGGGCCTATTTCTAAGCAGAAAGGCAGAGCTTGTAAAGGGGGTTCTCAGGCGATTGCCGATTAACTGTGGTTGATGGTTCCAGTGGACTCATCTCAGGGAGGACAATCTTGTGACCGCTGTGGGGACAATTGCCTTGAGCCATCTCCTGAGGTATAGAGAAATAAAGAACCTTCCCCTGCCCCGCAGATTACTGGCCTCAGATTTTTTGTTGTTGTTGTTTGAGACAGAGTCTCACTGTGTTGCCCAGGCTAGAGTGAGTGCCGTGGCGTCAGCTAGCTCACAGCAACCTCAAACTCCTGGCTCAAGCGATCCTGCTGCCTCAGCCTCCCGAGTAGCTGGGACTACAGCATGCGCACCATGCCCGGCTAATTTTTTCTATATGTTTTTTAGTTGGCCAATTAATTTCTTTCTATTTATAGTAGAGATGGGGTCTCACTCTTGCTCAGGCTGGTTTCGAACTCCAGACCTTGAGAGATCCTCCCACTTTGGCCTCCCAGAATGCTAGGATTACATGCATGAGCACTGCACCATGCCAAGGGATACAGGTTTTAATTCCCAAAAAGAGTGAGGGTGGTTTTTTTTGTTTGTTTTTGTTTTTTGAGACAGAGTCTCGCTTTGTTGCCCAGGCTAGAGTGAGTGCCGTGCGTCAGCCTAGCTCACAGCAACCTCAATCTTCTGGGCTCAGGCAATCCTCCTGCCTCAGCCTCCCGAGTACCTGGGACTACAGGCATGCGCCACCATGCGTGGCTAATTTTTTCCATATATATTAGTTGGCCAATTAATTTCTTTCTATTTATAGTAGAGACGGGGTCTCGCTCTTGCACAGGCTGGTTTCGGTTTCGAACTCCTGACCTAGAGCAATCTGCCCGCCTCGGCCTCCCAGAGTGCTAGGATTACAGGCGTGAGCCACCGCGCCGGCCCCCCACTCTTCTTTCAAAAGGAAATAAAGACGCTGACCCCGGGTGATCCTAGGTGAGACTTTCCCCGCACTCTGCGCCTGTATACCCACCTTCCTTCCTGCACTGGCACCAAGAAGGGCTTGGCTTACTGCTGCCCCCTGATGCTGGTGTGACATCCTTAGGACGTCCCTGAAAGGACTGGGGGTCAGCTGTCCCCTGGCGGGGGGCAGGGAGCACTCAAGCCTGGTTGACTACTTTCGATTTGGAGATTAGCCTCCACTAGCTTGCCAGCTGGGGGCCCAGACACTTCTGGGTCCTTCTAGAAACTGGGACTGCTGGCCCAGGAGGCTGTGTTCTTCCTCTGGGCACGATGATATTGCACTTTCATATTTAGGAAACCGCTTCTGGGAGGTGGTGAGAACTGGTTTTTTTTTTTTTTTTCCCAGAGAGGGGAACCTTCCCCAGGCAAGCGATGTAGACATCTAGGGATACAGGGATCTCAGGCCTCTGTTTTCTAATCTACAAAACAAGGATCATAGTAGTGCCTCCCTCATGTGGTTGTGAGGGTCGGTTGGGTTTATCCACGTGAGCGCTTAAAACAGTGCCTGGCACGTAGGAATGCTGTAGAAAGCGAGTTGCTGATATTACTGGGCTGTCCAGTGTCATGCAGCATTTCCCTGCAGCCTTCTGCTGCTCGAGAGGGTTGGCCAGCTTCGTGGAGTCAGTAACTGGCGCTCAGAAAAGGAGTCCCAGGCCGGGTGCAGTGGCTCACGC